AGCTCCCACATCTCCAGAAGAAGGTTGCTGCAATGCTTCATGAAGGTACCAGGAGTCTCCCTGTACAAGGCCAAGCCATTTTAAAGCTCTGTCACAATCACTGCCTGTCTTCGGGAGATGTTTTAACCCCTATCACGTAGGATATTAGTGTCACACAGACAGCTTGCATTTCTTCAACTTTGTTTAGTCCTAAGATTCAAGAAGTCCAAATCACATGTTGTCACTTCCCTCCTCTCTCCCCTGCCATTCCCAACCGTGAGAGAGAGTTAATTGATATGAAAATAACTCCGGGGGCTGTATGGCTTTGAAAAACATAGAGTATTACATTCAGTACCGGCAATTACAGCCTAGGGGATTCAATCACTCAAAAGCTTTGTCTTTTTGCAAGTTCAAGACGTGGGACTGTCACAAAAGGAGAGCTTCTGGAGTAGCAACAAGTACATGCTGGTAGAGAGCATCAAAAGCTGTGCTCAAGAGCATCCCATTATGCTAACTGAACAATATACCACGTTCTCTTGACTCATCTCTACCCTGGTGCTCAACAACTGCAGAGAGAAAGGGGAGGAAAGGGAGTTGCAAAGATTGATCAGGAGACACTCCACTGCAAGAGCAAAGCTTGGGAAGGGTTGAGCCCGCTCCTGCACCCCTCGGCTCAGACACTTCCATCCGACCCTTCCCTCCACATATGGCTGGATGCAGCAGCCGAGGCTCCTGTCTGGGATCACCCAGCAAAACACAAGGACAATGTGGCCACGCTGCCCCGCTGGTGGCTGTGCTTGGCACTGAATTGCTGTGCTTTCTGGAGCTGCTTTCCATAATGAAGTCAGAAGGACACCATCATCTTGCCAGGCTCCCTGCAACCCCAAAGATCAATAACTAATGCTGAACTCCAGATTTTATCTACACTTTGCAAGGGTAACTAAATCACCACCCTCTTTCTTTCTTCGTTCCAATTACTAAATCCTTTCAGGACTGACCCAGTAATTTCCAGCTTATGAAACTTTAGGCAGTGAAGGATGTGATGAAAGTGATCTTCCAGAGTGTTTGGAGAACTTTTGCATGCGGTTTGGCTCCCTGTATAGAAGTGCAGAAGTACAGCAGAGGCTACAGAAACACAGCAGCACCAACACTTCGTTTCCAAGAAGAAATGGCATTTTAATTAAACTAACCCAGAGACATGTGTCTTGTAAGCACTACTTCACTGCATTTCACTATTGCAACTAAGCAGCCAAGCTAGAAGGAGAATCCTACTGAGAAGATGCTGCATCCCATCGAAGCGAGGGACTGTTTTACCTATAACACTCCCCAAATTAACCGCTCCTTACTACTATCAAATACAGATTTTAATAATGTTATAGACAGGCATGAACTACAATAGCAGTTTGCCCTGAGTCTTATTTTCCTTAGAGAACACCCACAAATAGCTGGACATTAAGAAAGCCACCAGCGGAGGCAACATCACGATGAGCCTGATGACAGTTTTAATGTTACTGAGGTTACATGCTCCATTGGCAAGGCTCTGAGGTTTATTTTGGGTGGGGTTTCCAAGCAATGATGAGTAGTTTCGAAACCCCTCTTACTACATCTGGTGACATCTGTGTGTTTGCACTTACTAACTGGTGTCGGGCCAGTGCCGCGCGTGCAGCCGGGTTACACGCTACCAGAACATGCACGCATGAGTAACACACGTGTGCCAGAATTATGGCAACAGATCTCCCCAGTCTGCTTCCAGGGAATTCATCTCCCCTTGGAGCAGCAGGGAGGGGAACATCAATGCTTTTCCCTTCCCTTGCCCACGCTGGTTATTCCAAGCATGGCCTACCTACAGTAAACCACGATGGGTATTTTATCTGCCGGTCCTCTTCGCCTTGGCTAATGTGAAGATACAGACTGCAACCCGCAAGTGGATTTCAGAAGTGCCATTAGCACTGCTGCTGCACGCGGCTGCATTTTAAACATGCTTTCCTACACAACCAGAACGGCACCATTTGTAAAATCTGGGCTGATTTTATCAGCCACTGGTGCAGCAGGACTTGCTCCAGCACAAGAGCCCACTAGCCAGTGGATTAGCCTGATTAGCCCCAGCTACTGTGCAGAGAAGGAAAAATGGCACTCAGGACCGGCTAAATTCAAGTGTGAAGATGAAGATGACTTTTTACTCTGCCTTTTGCACTTGTTTCTTCCTTCCACCTGGACTTGCAAGGGTAAAGACCTGGGGAGGGGGCTCCAGGCACCCTTGGACCACATGGGCAGGGATAGAGCTGGGTTCAGAGCCTGACTCTGATGGAGCACACTGGAGGTACGGGCAGCATCACCTCTACTCAACAGTATTTGGAGTCTGCTTTTGATTCTCTTGGACTCTTAGTTCCTCCCCCCTTATATGTCACGTAAAGAGATTACACAAGAATGCTAATACAAAGGGGAATGTTGTGGCTTGCATGTAAACCAGCCTATTAAAATAAAACAATGAAATAAAGTCATAGAATTCCTGGGATAAAAAGGAAGACCTGTTGCCTCTTGTCTCCAACAGACATTGTGGGGAAAAAGCCCTTTTGTGGAGAACACAGAAGGTTCCATGGCAGCTGAAGTGCCCCCACACCGGCAGCCCTCAACTTCAGCAGTTACGGACCATTTCTCCAGACAAGACAGTGCAAAGATGCTCTGGGAAGAGGCATCCATCCTGTGGGGCTGCTCGCTCAGGTTCACAGCTGAGAGCAGGGCTCCCTGCATCACCCCAGGCTCCCCCCCCCCGAGCACAGAAGAGCTGAAGCAGAGCTGTTAGAGCAGAGCTCAGCACTAGCAGAGCAAAAACACAGACGCTTCCTGGTGCCCCTGCGCCTTGCAAAGTGCTTACAGCAGCACAGTGCCACCGGCGGGGACAAAGCAGGGATCACCTTGAGGTACACGGGGAGGGGACGAGCATCGTGCCTGCAGGAAGCAAAGGAAGGACTAATGCACGTTGCTCTGTTACTGTCCCTGCAATGAAACCCAGGCAAGCACTACTGGTGGCTACCAATAAGTCTGGTGGGGAGGAACAGAGCTCGCTGTGGGCACAGCCAAGAGCCCCAGTGAGAACTAACTCCATGATTTGGGAGATTTCAGCAAATGGAGACTTTCTATCTGGAGCAGAGCCCTTATCTGGAGACGAGGGAGCTGCTGGGGCCATCCAGCCCTGCTGATGGGCTACAGGACAGGCTGATGTCCTCCAGGACAAGCCAGCCCTGTGGAGCCTCTGATGCCCTTAGAGAGGGATAGCAAAGACCTGCTCTGTGGGGTGACAGGAGCAGAGACAAGGTTGGGGACTTGGAAAACAGGCTGCAAAAGCCTCATGGAGATGAACACCAGGATGTTTCCAGCCTGATGCACACTGCATGAACTTGCCAGGTTAAGGGATGGTTTCAGAGAGGAAAACAAGGAATACAAACAGGAGCCTCGCTGGAACACATTCACCAGGGCCCAGTCTGCTGAGTACATGTGTTCCTGGGACCAGACCCCCCAGTACCAGAGCCCAGCTGCCCACAGATCACATCAGAGCAAGGCCGAGGCCCTTGTGCCCCGCACAAAAGCACCACATAACACAGCTTTCAACGCAACAACCAACCTGCCAAGATCCTGAATGGAGAAGGGTATTTATGGCCCGTTTCAGGGTGGTTGCAAAGAGAAGGGTAGAAAATTCCTGGATATAAAAGGAAGTTGCCAGGGGTTGAACTCTGCAGCGTATGTAAGGGTTTTGAACACTTGGCTCCTGTTACAAACTGATGGGCACTGCTGGGTCACTTGCCTTCTCTGAAGAGCTTGTCTTTCCAAGCAAGACTTTTGCAGGGTACTCCGATCCCTGACATCAGAGAGGGATCAGTGCCTGGGAAGGCAGTGCTGGAGGGGGGGAATGCTATCCTGGAGGTTCACCCGACTCCCCCAACCATCCACACAACCCAAGTTCCTTGTTAAGGCGAGCCTCAGAGCAGTGAATAATTCACACAGCACTGGGAGCTCAGCTCTTCTGACCCTGCCACGGAGATGAAGATGAGCTGGGCTGCTCCCGTCTCCCACTCCCCATGCTCCCATCGCTGCGGGGCCAGGCACAGGCTCCATAACGCCTCGGAGCAGCCTCTCTAAACAAACAGGCTGCACCCACCACGGAGAGAGCAACCACATCTATCAAGAGAGCCCCTCAAAGAGGCCGGAGGGCAAACAACAAACCTCGGGGCTACATGTCCACGCTGTTGCACGGGGGCAGAAGCCACAAGCTGTGCTGGTTTCCTGCACTGCCTCCAAACACACACGTTAGAGCAGGGAGATTAGTGGCATAAAATCAATGTCGTTCAGAGGAAAGGGAAGAGGGGCTCTGAGCCCGTCCCCAGGGCAGTTCTGGTGCCCCTCTGAGAGCCCAGGTACATCTAACCCCATCCCAGACAAACAGAGCGGATGCTGGGCTGCTCTCTGCCTGCAGCGATAACATGAGCCGCTCGCTGAGAGACAGAGGAGCATCATTTATTTCTGCTGAAAGGAATGGCCATAACATTGAAAGTAATCCTCAGCTCATTTTCACTGAGCTGTACAAGCAGTGATGAAACCTTGTCTCTCTTGTGAAATACGGGGAGGGAAATTCCTCTTCTGCAGATCCTGCTTGTTCTGAGCTACCACTGCCAAGAGGACGAACAGTCCTCAGCTGCAAACCTCCAGCAGAGGGGTTCAGCACCTTAATTTCCTGCTGGCCTTACGGCCAGCTTAACCTAATGACAGCCACCACGGTACAGAGCCCAGCAACTGTCCTCCCAAAGATAAGTCATTAGACTGACCAGAAAAATCAACTCTGAGAAGCAAATCCACACAACACACAGCATTATGTGCCAAACAACCCTTCCTCTGCAGCCCCTGCAGGACAGAGGGGTCCAGCACCGCTGGACTGAGGCGCCGGGTCATCACGCTGGCAGTGATTTGGGCTGTGCTCACATGCAGAGGCTGCCCACAGTGTGATGCCTGAGCTCCCGCTCTCTTACCTCTATGCCTGTTGGTCGTCTTGTCAAACATAAGCATGGCGTCCTCTACCTGCAAGAGAGAAGGGAGATGTGTGCTTTAACACCTTCACAAAGACAGCAGGCAGACAGGAGGGGAGACAAGGGCAGCAGCAGCCTCAGCTCAGGTACAAATGATGCATCCGATCTCCTTGTGCTCAGTCAGCTCTTCCTTTTGGGAATCTGCTGCTTTCCACCCCCATCCCAGCTGACACTTGATCCCAAAGCAGAAAAGCCAGCACTGAAAGTTCCGCTGCCCTAAAGAACCACACATCTAAGCAGCAATTCCTCCTCCTGATGGTCCCTGGCTATGCCTCACCCCAGCCTTTTTCCCTTTTGCAGGGAGATAAGGAAGGATCAAGAGAGGAACCGTGGATGCAAATCAAGCCCATGTCTTCTCCAAATTAGAGCCACTGTCTTGGCTGAGAATTAGGAGGTTACAAGAAGTATGAGCAGGGTAAAACCTGGTCAGGCAAGAAAGGTATTCAGAGGCTTTCAAAAGGCCCTTTGAAAAGCCAGAGGAAAGAGGGGAGAGGGAGGAGGGAGAAGGTTTAATTCGCATCAGGCTTGGCATTTCCACTTCAGAAGAGAGATGACTGATGAAACGTATTGAAGTGCAACCAAATTGCTTTCAACTTTCATTACTATTTGCATGATTTATTCCACCTCCATTTAATCCGTGCAGCCACACCTAACATTTTACACTTATTTTAGAAGGATGTTGTGCTGGAGTTTATTTGCCAGCATTATCACATGTTCAAACTGCTGCTCCGAGGCTGCAGGAGCTGGGGCAGGTCCCATCTAAAACGTCCTCATCTAAAACCTGTCTCTGTACTTAACCTTTTCAGAGTGGTTTGCAAACTGGGTTAGCAACAGCCTGAGATGGTGGGGAACAGCATGGCTCCTCGATACCCATCTTGAGCAAGACCTAAAGGTGCTGATGCACTGGAAAATCCAAAGCACATTAAGCACAGAGCTATTTGTCCTGCTGTCTTTCCTCACCCCAAAGAAGAAAACTCACAAGTACAAGCAATACCAGGAGGCAGATAAGGACACAGCTGCCCTTCACCCCGCACCACTGCTTATCTCTGCCCTCGGGGTTCTGTTTGCACAGCAATGTTTACTTTTCATCCTCACAGGTCTTGGCCCCCCTGCATCCCAAAACTACATGCTGCACCTCGTGCAGGTTCCTGCAGCATCGCTGCTTCCTCCGCCTCAGTCCACCCCAGCGTGCCAGCCACACCACTAAGTTCTAACTCAGCTCTCCCAGTGTAACCTTTCTGCCCCACATCCCAAACCAGAGCCCGCACTGGCCCTGGACACACTGCAGCACAGATCCCCCGGCCCTGGTCCCCTGCCCAGGAGGTGATGCTGGCTGCAGGCTGGACCCACACTGAAAGGGCTGTCATGAAATGAGGCACGATGCTAACCTCGCTTTAGCATGGCCGTGTCTCAGCCCAAAGTCTCCCGGCAGCCAAGGCTGTGGGGTGCAACACCCTTGGGCTCAGCAGTACCACCATGGATCTGATCTGAACCTCTTGTGCAGCCTCATCCTGCTCCTCCAAGTGCTGCCATGGCAGAAGGGCAGGTCCTGGCACAAGACCAGCATTGGGAGGGATGAGGGGCCCTGGGTGCAGTCCCTGGTCACAGCGGGGAGCTGCAGCTTTGTTCACCTCTCCCACCTCCACAACGTGACACGTCCTCTCACCCACCAGACACACGTCCTATGGGCAAACAACGTTCTGTGCCATGTGCACGAGAGCCCTGCTTGCTGGAATGATGATCTTGGCAGAGGGCTTTCTGATGCAAATAAACCCCTATTAGCAGTAACAAGGCAGCCTGCATGGGCTGATCCAGGAGGTTTCCATGCTCTGGCTGGGACCCCAGGCACGCCGGTACCCTGGAGATGGGCATTTCATCCCCCAGACCTGCTTCTGGGATCAGAACCAGACACGCAGCTACCTTGGAAAGGGTCAACCCCACCACCCGTTCAAACCTGAAAGCCTGCAAAGGGGAGAAGCGGCTCCGCAGCTGAGCTTCAGATGTGGACCAAGCCTGTCTTTAAGAAAGAATAATCAGTGGGGTGTTCTTTAAGCCAGCTGGTGCCCTTTCAACAATGTCTAATTGGTTATCTTTTCTGTTTCCTAAGGTCAGAACATTTTATCTCCGTCTCTGCCCTTTCGGAGCCTACCCCACCCTGCGTTATTTTTTAGGGCAGGCATTGTAGCAGAAGAATAGCCTCTTGCCTCCACAGTCCGCGGACACAATGAGACTTCTTGAAACCTCCTGAATAGAGACAGTGCAACGGCAAAGGGAAAATTCTATCAAGGCTTTGCAAAATAAAACATCTGAGAGCGGCTTGGACAAGGGAGAGGGAAATCAATGCGAGGGGCAGCGCGCGCGGAGAACTTTTCCCCAGTCGCAAAAAGGTGGTGAGGGGATGGGAGGGAGGGGGCAGAAAGAGGCTTATTAATGCAGAAAGCCCATCAACGGCATGGAAAGCTGGCAGAACAGCAAGAACTGAAACTGGGAGAATTTGAATATACAAAGGGCTGAATAGAATGAGAAACCCCCAGCGCCTCACACACACAGCCCGTTTCTCACGGGTCTCCGTGAATCAAACACAAGCGGCTTGTTCAAGTCTGCATCAAGGAGAACTAAGGGACGCAGCCAAGGTAACCGGCAGTAAATCCTGTAGTAAGCAAACTGAGCCCTGTTTCGGGGGAAGGAGGGGGACACAAACCAACCCGCAGATGAAACTCCAGTACACTGAGGAGCTGCGAGCGCCCAAACGTTAACCCTCCCCTCCAACCAGCGTTTGGATGCAAAGGGCCAGGTCTCAACTCAACACATTCAACCTGGATTACACAAAGAGAAGCTCTTCCTGGGTTAAAACAGGGCTGGGAGATGCAGTTGCCACCTCTGAGGCTTGGCTGGTCACCCACTAGCACTGACCCCAGCTACCAGCCACTGCAGTGGCTCCTGCGAGCGCGTTCTCTGGGCATGGTGAAGAACAGCACACCAAAGAGCTGGGGTCCCTCCGCACAGACGCTGAGCCATCAGAAATGTACATCTTTTAGATGCAGCATGGCTCAATATGGAGGCCCAAAGGAGCTCATGAATCTGAGCTAGTCCTGGGCAGGAGAATGTGTTATACAATGAACAGTCTCAGCACATAAGGTAAATAAAATAAAGGCAATGAAGACTTGCCAGATAATACCAGTTACAAACAGACGCTTAAGCCCAACAGACTCCTCTATCCCAGCATACCCTTTACATACATCCAATTTAGACCCAGTTTCTTACACAAAGCCTAACTAATGGGCTTTAGTTTATTTAACTTTTCTTTTTCAACCCACTTGGGGCTCTGAGCTAAGGAAGGGCTGCACCACTTCATTACTCACTGCCTGGAAGGAGGAACAGGGGAGAATAGGAGGAAAGAAAAAAACCTGGAGGAGCCAAAGGCTTTAATAATCCTAACAGTTCCCAGGGTTATTTAAAATATGCCCAACCAGTTCACAAAAGGCTCCACAGAGATAAATGTATTTGATTTTCTTCCACTTTAATGGAGGTGTGCATTTAAAGCAACAAAACCAGGGTGACCTAAATAAAATGACCATTAATTGTACCCAGAAAGGCTCTGAATTTAATGCAACTGATCCGGCGCGGCACAAGAACACACAATATTCTCCATTCATTCCTCCCACTTCCCTCTTCAGGGTTTTCAGCTCCTCTTTTCCATGGGGCAGCCCTGAGCCATCAGCGAGGATCAAACCTGCTCGCACTGTAATGACCAGGCTGAGTGTCCTGTGAGGACCAGCAGTGACTCACAGGGCCTCTGGAGGACAGACACAGAGCAAGGGCAGATTCCAGACCGCTGGAATGGCTAAACCAGGATGTTTCCTGGTTGTATTTCTACAGCCATGTGATGGAGCAGCAAACCCAAGAGGTGCCCCATGTACACGCAGCTTGTAAAGGCAATGGTCATTTACAAGGTGCTGCATGCCCTAGGAGCAACAACAGCCACCACTTCACACCTCCAAGCTCTTGTTTTGGTGTTTGAACCAGGTTTACTCACTGAGTAAACCCTCCGCAGGGAAGCCACCGTAACTACACCGGCTTTCTGCATGCCTCACACTCTGCACCCAGCTCAGGAAAGACCTTCCTGACCCAAACCCTGAGTTTCTGACACATCCAGGGCAGGTTGAGAGGCTCCTGCGTTTGCTCAGGTGTCCCCTCAACGCTCCCAAGCAGGTTTGGTGCTACCGCTCTCCATCCCTTCAACACGAAGAAGAATTAGGGCAGAGAAATGAAGGAACACGCTGCTGTCAAACACTGTGGCAACTCGGATTGGGCCCCAGGAGAACAGAAAGCCCCCAAGGACGACACTGAGCTGCACACAGCTGGGCTGCTCCCATCCCCTCTGATCCCTGGCTTGTGAACTTTACAGGTCTATCCCTTCTGCTCTCCCAGGAAAAGAGTGCTGGATAGCCTGGTCTAACTCCTCAAATCCTTTATACACACGGCACAACCCCTCCACTGTTTTGCTTTCTGAAGCTGAAAACCTCTGAGCTGTTTGTCAGCAACCTCTCAGGTGCTGTTACTCGAAACGCACGTGTTAAATCCAAGCACCAGCAACGTGCTCCTGCGGATTTACAGCCTCCCCTCCACAGGAATTAAGACAAATGCAGACCCTGCACCAGCCAGGTAAGAGAAGATGGTTCCAGCAAGCTTCTGGGTGTCATCACAGGGGAATCAAACAAAGCAACAAACGCTTTAACCTTTCCCCCTCCTCTGTCAAGCTGCTATTCCCATCACGGCTCCTCATCTGAAGGCACCCACAGCATCCTCATCACCATCCACTGCCCTTCATCCCACACACAGCACGGTCCCTCGCGGAGCATTCCCAGTGTTCCACAGTGACAACTTACCAACCGAGGCCCGACATATTATGCACCATGACAATAATCAATGCCATACTGTGCAAGAACAAATTCCAGTGCTAGCAATATTTTCCCCCCAGCAGTCGAGGCT